TGGTTGCGTTTTTCCCCCCCTGGTTGCCTGGTTGGTTGGTTTTTAATTGTTTGTGTTTGTTCGTGGTTTTTGAAATTTATTTTTTATTTCTGCTCACCAAACCTTAACAAAACCAAGGCAAAAAGTTGTTGGCTGTGGAAAATGGAGCAGGGAGGTGCTCGACAAAGGAGGCGGCGGCGGCGCATAATCCGCGCTCCCATGATGCCAAATCGCAGGGTGCATAATAACTTTTGGAGATTTACATAGATTAAACCGATTCCCTAGAAATCCTTCCGGAAAAAAAAAAAAAGAAAAAAAAAGAAAAAAAATCTTTTCAATAATATTTTCCCTCGTATCTGCTCTAATTTGTAAATTACGCAAGGCGCGTCTCCATGGGAAGCTGAGGGCGAACGTSGCTCTTGGGCAGATTTTCCTTGGCTGGAGGAAATGACAGGGCGGGAGAAATTCCCGTTTATATTCTTCTCTTCGAGTAAGACCTCAAAAAATGCAATTTTTATCTTTTGTTGTTGTTGTTCTGGCCGTGGGGAAAGGATTCCTTACTCGATGTGGCTGCAGAGCCCTAGGTTAAAACGGGGATGTTTTTAAGACCGGTTCTATTCCTTTCGCTCCCTCCTTCCTCAAAGCCAGGAGAACTTAAGGCTGGAAATTTGTTTTAACGATTCCATTTCCAATAYTAAAAGTACGTTCTTGTCTAACGGGGCAGCCTCCTCGGTGCAAACAAATTAGATTATTATGATAATGAGTTAATTATTCCGCTTCTGTGCTACACTCCACTGAACAGAGAAATTCGAAACTTCTTTGTAGTGAAGCTTTTAGGACCGCAATTCTCCATCACCACCACCGCCCCGCCCAAAAAAAGAAGGAAAGAAAGGGAAAAAAAGTCATTAAACTCCCTGTTGTTGAGTTTTKCTGCAAGATAAAGCTAATTAATTTATGTATTAATGAGCACGAGGTTCTCAGGCCATTATCGCCCGTTGGTGTTGGCTACCGGGGGCGATTTCGGCCTTTCGGGAGTCTGATGTGGAAAGGCGARCCCGGCGCTTGGGAAATCATCTCCCTGGGGCGTGCGCTCCGCGATTTTCGGGGCGTTTGGACCCTTTTCCTTTTGCCTTTCGGAGCTCGGGGGCTGCCCGGGAGCGGGGAACGCGCCCGCGTGTCTTTGTCTGCGGGGCTGTGGGGTTTGGGGTATTTTCCCTATTATTGTTGTCGCTGTTATTCTGGGTGGGTTTGTTTGGGGTTGGCCCCTCCCGGCGGTGGCCGTGACCCCGTGTCCCCTCCCGTGCCGTCCCCTCCCCGCAGGTGTGGTTCCAGAACCGCCGCGCCAAGTGCCGAAAGCAGGAGAACCAACTGCACAAAGGTAGCGGGGCGGGGGGCGCGCTCGGGGCCGGGGGCGCGCTCGGGGCCGGGGGCGCGCTCGGGGCCGGGGGCGCGCTCGGGGAACGCTTCGGGCACGCGTGGGGGACGCTCCCCGGCGCTGACCCTGCCTCTGCCTCCCCCAGGGGTGCTGATCGGCGCCGCCACCCAGTTCGAAGCCTGCCGGGTGGCTCCCTACGTGAACGTGGGCGCGCTGCGGATGCCCTTCCAGCAGGCAAGTGGGTGCGGGTGGCCGGGCGGCAGGGTGGCTCCGGGGGGGTGACACTGCCACGGGCCGCCCTCCCCTTGTCCCCCGCAGGTTCAGGCGCAGCTGCAGCTGGACAGCGCCGTGGCCCACGCTCACCATCACCTGCACCCGCACCTGGCCCACGCCCCCTACATGATGTTCCCCGCTCCCCCCTTCGGGCTCCCGCTGGCCACCCTGGCCGAATCCGCCTCCGCCGCCTCCGTGGTGGCCGCCGCCGCCGCCGCCAAGACCACCAGCAAGAATTCCAGCATCGCCG